ACATATTTTATTACTGTTTTAATGGAGGAAGTCAAAGTGTTCAAAACTGCCCCCCCAGGGGGGCACCTTTGAACAAAGTTTGGTATTTTTGAACGGCATGGTTTTTTACAGTGTTTATGTTCAAATATATATGTATTGTATTCATATATATCAAAAATGCAATTATTTATTAAAAAATATATACAAAAATATTCGAAAAATAAAAAAATTCTGATCAAAATTTATGAAAGCACAAAATTACATAAAAACAAAAGTTTATATGGTGACAAATACAGCTAATTTCGTAATCTTATTAGCCCATTTGAAATCTTTGAGAAATCGAAGCCAAAAGCTAAAAACTCCGTTTTTACTGGAGTTTACTGGGTATGTTCAAAGGTGCCCCACCTGTGGTATTTTACGGAAATTTATAATAACTTTTTTTGTAATAAATATATATGAAAGAAAATACATTAGGTATGTCTGAAATGATTATTGGAATGCAAAAAAATTGTTTAACGAAAGAAAACTTTCACAAAATTCTTCCTGCGCCCTTACAAACAAATGAAAAAAAGTTTACAATTTCACTGCGAAAACATGGTCACCCATGTACAATTTGTCGACAAGTGAAAAAGCTAGCAAAAGTGGTTTACGCAGATGAAGAACACGATTGGCACATACAAAAATTTGGTTGCTGGTCGGAAAAATTTTAAACCAAGATTTTATGAGCGCTGTTCAAAGCTGCCCCACGTTCAAAGGTGCCCCCCTCTCCCCTACGACTAAAAAATACCAAATTGCAGCAAGTTCGGTTGAAAAACGCGCTCAAGGACCCCAAAATACCGAAAATTTATAATTTTTTGTGGAGAGATTTAGTACCCATTAAGAACTCAAAATACTAAATTACAACTAATTTCGCGGAAAAATACGATCAAAACCCCCAAAATACTAAAAATTAGGAAGCACCGTTATATGGGGGCTACCAGAAAAAGTGGACATATATTTATAATTATTTGTGGAGACATTTAGTACCCAATAAGAACTCAATGTAGCAAATTTCAGCGAATTCGGTTGTAAAACCCCCTCAAGAACCCCAAAATACCGAAAATCTGAAGGTACCCTTATATGGGAGCTATCCGAAAAACTGACCTATATTCATAATTTTTTGTGGAGAGATTTGGAACATATTAGAACTCAAAATACCAAATTACAACTAATTCGGCGGAAAAATACGATAAAAACCCCCAAAATACTGAAAATTAGGAGGTACCGTTATATGGGGGCTACCAGAAAAAGTGGACCTATATTTATAATTTTTTGTGGAGACATTTATTACCCAATAATAACCCAATGTAGCAAATTTCAGCGAATTCGGTTGAAAAACGCGCTCAAGAACCCCAAAATACCGAACATTGGAGGGTACCCTTATATGGGAGCTATGCCTAAACGTGGACCGATAAAGCCCATCTTCGAACTTGACCTGCCTGCAGACAATAGACGACCCAATGTAAAAATTTTGCGATCTATCTCAATTCGTTTAGACGCTAGAGTGGTTACAACAAACAGACAGGCGGACATGGCTATATCGTCGTAGAATTTTACGCTGATCAAGAATATATATACTTTATAGGGTCAGAAATTATTACAAACGGAAAAACAAAAACGGAAAAACAAAACTAATGTACCCTCGAAACCAAGGGTGAGGGTATAAAAACAATATTAAGTTCGACCGAACTTTTTATACCCTCCACAGTGGGGATGACAATCAAAATATCTAAAATTAGTGGGGGCTCCTACGAGAAAACGGATATTATCATAGGATCTGGAACATTCCAAAAAATACGCGGGAAGAAGAAAATTGAAATTCTCAAAATGTCTACCGTTACATATGGCTGTAATAAAACGGAGGTCAATATTGATATTTTTTGGTAGTGAGATTTGACAGCCAATGAGAATAGAAAATACCAAATTACAGCCAATTCGAGTGAAAAACGCATTTTGAAGGATCATTAACATGAAATTGGATCCATAAACAGCCATTCTGCAACCCATACTAAAGTTTTCATTTGGTCAGACATAGAGTTAGTTGCTTCTTACAATGGGACAAAATTATGCAAATCAATTTAAAGCAAATCAATAAAAGGAGTTTGGTGCACCATTTATATAAAATCGGACGAAAATATATATAAGATCTATATCGCAATCTAAACCGATATGAGATCTCCTATGTGAGAGCTCTATCCAAATCTGAACCGATTTCAACAAAACTTTCCACACGCTAGGTTATATTAACTTCAGTATGTTGTGCAAAATTTTTGTGTCAAACGATCTAACTTCAGGTCTTTGGTGCACCATTTACTTAAAATCGGACGAAACTATATATGAGACCTATATCTAATTCTGAACCGATTCCTACAAAACTTTGCAAACGTTAGGCAATACTAATTTCAGTACGTTGTGCAAAATGTTGTAGAAAATGGCTTAACTTTGGGTCTTTGGTGCACCTTTTACTTAAAATCGGGCGAAACTATATATCTAAATCTGAACCGATTTCAACAAAACTTGCCACACGTTATGTTGTAGTAAATTCAGAACATTGTGCAAAATTTTGTGCCAATCTGACCCACCTGGGGGTTCGGTACATCATTTATATCTTACTTCTACGTTGTACTAATTTCAGTACCTTGTGGGACATTTTATGTCAATTTTGTGTAAAATGGGACGAAAATATATATGTAGAACCTATATCTAAATTTGTACCGATTTCAACGAGATTTGCCAGATATTAATTTATATTAACTAGAGTACATGGTACGAAATTGTGTTGCAATCGGAAAAACTTTGGGTCTTTAGTGCACAATTTATATAAAAACGGAAGAAAATATATATAAGAGCTATATCTAAATCTGAACCGAAAATTAGCACACACAATTCCTAATAATTCAATACGCCATGCACAATTTCGTGCAAATATATATATATATATATATATATATGAGTACCATATCAAAAGAGTCGAGACACTCGATCTCAAACGTCAAATCCATAGCGTATATGTCAAATATAATCCACTGGTATTGTGAGCATGATTAAGGTGACGTATACGATTTGGAATCAATATTTGAAATCGATTGGATTTAGTTGTCTAAAGGCGCTCTTAAATATTACGAGCTCTATTATATTGCAAACCGAATGGAAAATATAACATACCCACCATCTTATTTTGGAGGTCATACAAATTTGCAGAATTTAAAAAATTTCATGCCTGTCGACTCATTGGCGAATTAACTCAAAAAAATAGTTTATTTCTTTGAAAATATTGAAATAATTGATTAAATATTGAAACGAAATTTGTAGTGTATTATTCTGACTTTAATGAAGAACAAACTGTGGTAGATTTTTAGGCGTCAACATATATTCCATTTTGCTTTATCACTTAAAATGTTCCCTTATTTATATAAAAATCTATTAGTTTCTATGCCTATTATGTGTTTTTTTAATTATATATTTATTTTCGTGTTTCTTTCTCTTTTCAGAAAACTCAAATACTTTATCGTTTCAATCCATTTCCAGAGTTTCAAATGGAAACTGTTCCATTGGCCATCAATCGCTCACTGAAACAGGAGGAAATATTTCCACAACGTCTCAACAATTTAATGGGCTACAATATGAATGTTGTCATTGGTGGTTCCGATCCTCGAATAATACCATACGAAAAAGATGGAAAACTATTTGTAGGAGGATTTGTTGGTCATTTCGTATGGGCATTTGCCAAAAAATATAATTGTAACCTGCATGAACCATTACCATATAACCCCAAAGTTCCGCTACCCAGTCAAGAGCTAATGAGAGCTGTTCGCAATGGAACTGTAGAATGGTCTGCCGGTGTCACATTTCCAGGGATACCGATTTTAGGTTACACCTATCCATATGAGTTTATCAACTGGTGTTTGATGATACCAGTCGAAGCGGATATTCCAGGATATGAATTTTTCACATCCGTATTTAAAGGTGAAACCTATGTCTTCTTTATTGCCACTTTAATTATTATTTCGATGGTATTGAGTGCTGCTTTGTACATTCATGGCTATAGGCCGGATTTATTTGATATAATTTGTCACGATGATTGTTTGCGCGGAATGCTGGGCCAATCGTTTAGCGAGTTGCGTAATCCACCGGTAATAGTTCAAGCCATCTATTTGGAAATTTGTATGTTGGGTATACTTTTGACGACCACATATAACGCCTACTTCTCCACTTATGTCACCAAGGCACCAAAGACAGCCACTCTGAACACCTTGGACGATATTATGGCTTCAGGTCTAAAATGTGTCGCCTGGAAACCGGAATATAATGAGATTTTATCCCGGGCTCCAGAATTCAAAAAATATGCTCCAATGTTTTTGGTGGAACCGAATTATCAAAAATATTTAGAGTACCGTGAATCGTTTAATACCCACTACGGTTATGTGGTACCCACGACAAAATGGACAATTATCACTGAGCAGCAGAAAATGTTTACCACGCCATTGTTTAAACAAAGTTCCAGTTTTTGTTTTTACAACAATATTCCAATGGTCTTCCCGATTCATGAAAATTCTCTATTCATTGAAGCGATGTATAACCTTATGTTGGAAATCTGGCAATCGGGTTTAATGAATGTATGGATGGAACATGGATTTTTAGAGCTGATCAAAGCTAAAAAGCTGGTGTTATCCGATTTGAGCAGAAAGAAAGAATTCGAAGCAATGAAAGTCGATGATTTGCTGTATATTTTTATATTTCTGGGAATAATGTTGGTGGTTGTGGTTTTGGTATTCATTGGAGAATTGTTAGTATTTCATAAACAGAAGATACGTGAAAAACTACGAAGTCTTGTGAGAACGCGCAAAGGAAATTTGGAAATGAAACAAAGAGATGCTACAAAGGAAATATATGAACCTGCTGGAAATTATGTTAGAGATGGCCTGCTATGGAGAAAATTTAATTAACACCTATTTGTAAAAAAAAAATTGGGAATAATGTTGGTGGTAGAATTTCATAAATAAATATTTGAGAACTTTGAATAAAAATATGTTTTTGTAAACTGTACAGATCAATAGTTACATTTGAGCATATATATTATATAGACTTACTTCTTGTGACTATTTAAGCATGTATATTATTGCATATTTTTAGCAAAGTACAGGACGATATTTCCTATCCAATTACGATGACATTTATACCCTTCACCAGACTGTGGTGAATATCAAATTGTCTGTCTGTCCATGTCAAATTGTAAACAAAGTACAGGTCGCATTTATGATCCGAATTGGATGAAATGTCGCACATCCCAAGGAAAATCGTTTCTGATTTACATATAGTTCCCACATATAGTTTCGCCCGATTTTATGTAAATGGAGCACCAAAGACCCAAACTTTGGCCGATTGCCGCAAAATTTTACAGAACGTAACTAAGTAGTGTAATTTAACGTGTTAAGTTTTGTTGAAATGGGTCCAGCTTTGGATATAGGTTTTATATATATTTTGTCCAACCAAACAACTAAAGTTTTTTTTTTAGATTGACACGAAATTTCCAAAATTAATCATAGAATGTCGTGCTTGCGTTTTGAGACATGAAGGAATATCCCATACACATTTTCGACCGACATCATGTTAATCGTGTACCAAAAAAATCAACGGATGTCCGATTGAGGTTTGCATAAAATCGATTTAAATAATTTTGTCTCCTTGTAAACAAAAGACTCGATATCTTTGCAAATGAAAAATTTAGTATTGGTTGGAGAATGGGATTGTAAAGATAGCATACCTTAGTTCATCCAATTAAATGTAAATGGTGCTCCAAAAAATGCGACGTCTATAGGATGCATCTGTTGAATATACCCAAATTGGTGAAGGGTATCATAAAGTCGACCCCGTCCGACTTTACTGCTTCCCTTACTGATTTTTATTATACCCTTCACCACACTGTGGTACAGGGTATTATGACTGTGTGTATGTGTTTGTAACAGGCAAAAGGAAACGAGATAGGCACATGGTTCCTTTTAAGATTATGGATAACATCACTTTCTAAATCGGTTTATGTATGTCCATCCGTCTGTAAACAAAGTACAGTTCGCATTTATGATCCGAATTTGATGAAATTTGGCACACTTCATCTATTTGGACCAAGGATGAACCCTATTGAAATTGGGAAAAATCGGTTCAGATTAAGGTATAGCTCCCATATATATCTTCACCTTATTTGATGTAAATTGTGTACCAAAGTCCCTATATGGCTTACGAAATTCACGAAATTCAGCATTGCGTACTGAATTAAGTCTACAATAATGCTTGTTAAGTTTCGTAAAAATCGGTTCAGATTTAGATATAGCTCCCATATATATATATATATATATTTGTCCGATAAAGGCTCTGTTTATCTTTCAATTAGGATGCAATTTGACACAGCATACTAAATTAGGTCTTAAATAACGTGTTGGAAATTTCATTAAAATCGGTTCTGATTTAGATAAAGCTACCATATATATATATATATATATATATATACTGGTCCGATTTTATGTAAATGTTGCACCAACGTCCCTATATATATTTCTATTTGCACGAAATTGAGCAAAGTGTACTGAATAACGTCTAGAATGATGCGTGTTAAGTTTCGTGGTAATCAGTTCAGATAGACAGTCCTATTTAATGTAAATGGTGTACTAAAAGCCCAGTATATCTTTCGATTTGCACGAAATTTGGCACGGCGTAATGAATTAAATCTAGAATGTTCTGTGTGTAGTTTCGTGAAAATAGGTTCAGATTTAGATATAGCTCCCATATATATTTTCGTCCGATTTAATGTAAATGGAGCACTAAAGGCCCAACGTTTGTCCGATTGACATACAATTTTGTACAATGTACTGAGGTTAATATGAAATAATTTCTGGCAAGTTTCGTTCAAATCAAGACATTTCATCTATTCCTCGCATTCTGAACTATTGGGAATGGGTTATATTTGTTAGTTTCTGAATCTTTATTGATTTTGATATCTTTGCTAATCCAAAGATTTCTCTATAGGGTAAAGATCTTATGATTGTTCTGGCCATTAAAAATCCTGATTTCTGGCTCCCGCAACCAATCTTTGACACGTTTCGGTGTATGTGTTTGGAAATTATTATAAAGTTTTTAGTACGATTTTTTACCCAGTAAGAATAAATAATACTAAATAGTAGCAGATCAGATTACAGTGCCAAAAGGCTAAAACCTGGATAGATTTCAATACCAAACATCCTAGACGCAAGAGTAAGGTATTTGCAAAATCTCTAAGCTATATCTTCAATATTAAATAAAAATTAAATAAATTTCTATCGTAAATTTTAACAGACATTCGGACGGACATTTAGGCACACATTGTTGAATCGACATGCAATTTTATCTGATCAAGAAAATATATATGCACTTAATGGATTCTCAGGCTAATATTGTAAACGGATAGGAAAATAGAATATACACACAATTCTTGTCGTTGAGGGGGTATAAAAATTCTTAAGTTCGGGTCAACATGTGGTGTGGTGCTGCCTTTACATAGGGACTATTTCAGTAGGTTGTTTATACTTTAAGAAAATTAAATACCAAATTACAGACACTCAGGTTACAATGACCTCGTCATAATTGTGTGAACGTAGAGACGACTTTATGAAAATAATATTATAGGTTAAATTGATCCCCTAATAGCAATTATCGTCTTGGAACGGAACCTAAACTACATGCAAAATTTCGTGATAATAGGTTCATTACTGCGGCGAAAAAAAGCTTAGTTAGGAAATCTCTTATACTTTGGTAATTCAAATAACATAAACTTAGGTTGGAAAATGCGGCTTGCACTGTACTTAAAATGGTCCAGGACAACTATGTGGGAGCTTTGTCATAACATTTACATATATTGTACATTTTCTGTAAAGAAGTGTTATCTATTTTATTTTTATGTATATATAAAAGTTCAGCTAAATTTTCCGTGTTTTGAATGTCCAGCTCATGATAGATAGTATAAGAAGTTCGATCTGGTAGAACTTAACATCATTATACCCTTCACCACACTGTGGTACTGGGTATTATGTCTTTGTGCATATGTTTGTAACAGGCAAAAGGAATCGAGATAGACCCATGGTTACTTTTGAGAATATGCATAGAATCACTTTCTGAGTCGATTTACGCATGTCCGTCTGTCCGTACATTCACGTATTTTTGTTAATAAAGTACAGGTCGCATTTATGATCCGATTTGGATGAAACTTGGCACAGTTCACTTATTTGGCACAAGGACGAACCCTATTGAAATTGTAGAAAATCGGTTCAGATTTAGATATAGCTCCCATATATAGGTACTGGGTATTATGTCTTTGTGCATATGTTTGTAACAGGCAAAAGGAATCGAGATAGACCCATGGTTACTTTTGAGAATATGCATAGAATCACTTTCTGAGTCGATTTACGCATGTCCGTCTGTCCGTACATTCACGTATTTTTGTCTATCCGCATTTATGATCCGATTTGGATGAAACTTGGCACAGTTCACTTATTTGGCACAAGGACGAACCCTATTGAAATTGTAGAAAATCGGTTCAGATTTAGATATAGCTCCCATATATAGTTTCACCCGATTTAATGTAAATGGTGTACCAAAGTCCCTATATGTCCTTCGATTTGCACGAAATTTTGTACAGCTTACTGAATTGAGTCTAGAATGATGTGTGTAAAATTTCTTGAAAATCGGTTCAGATTTAGATATAGCTCCCATACAAAGTTTCGCCCGATTTTAGGTAAATGGTGCACCTAAGTACTGATTTTGATATAGCTCCCATATATATTTTCGTCCGATTTTATGTAAATGGTGTACTAAAGGTCCTGCATATCTTTCGATTTACACGAAATTTGGCACAGCGTACTGAATTAAGTCTAGAATGATATATGGTAAGTTTCGTGGAAATCAGTTCAGATTTAGATATAGCTCCCATATATATTTCCGCCCGATTTAATGTAAATGGAGCATTAAAGGCCCAATATTTGTCCGATTGGCACACAATTTTGTACAATGTACAGAGGTTTCATCTATAAGATGCACTGTTTGATCTTTGGATGTACTATTCCTCGCTTCCTGAACTGTTGGGAAGGGGCTATGTTTGTTAGTCTTTATTGATTTTAAAATCTATGCTAATCCAAAGATTTTTCTATAGGGTAAAGATCTTATGATTGCTCTAGCCATTAAAAATCCTAATTTTTGACTCCCGCAACCAATCTTTGACATTTCCATATGTTTGTATGTTTGAGGTTATTTCGTTATTAATTAATATTAATTTATTAATTTCAAAATTAATTTTGCATTTCTGCTTTTGTTTTAAGTGAATGAAGTACCCGATTTAAAACTGAAAAATACACGATTTTTATTTTCGAAAAAAAAAAAAATAAAACAAAACGGCATTAATTTTCTGTGGATCTTCAGTTGCTTTAGTTTTGGCCACTAGTGTATATGTGGGGGCATCAATACTTGGACTTATATAGACAATTTTCCGCAAAAGTGTATGGAAAAACTAATAGTTCCATTGAGCTTATCACTTAGCTCAATGGAACTATTTGTTGATGATGAAAATGGAGGTGATCGCGTCAAAATACGTGTGATCGATTGGTACCTGCATTTCGGTGTGGGGGCGTTGGTTGACGCTTTGTATTAACTTGTGTTTACAGCACCGTGGGGTAAGACCGCAACGTAGGTACCCACGTACTCTAAGCATCTCTGCTCATTTTATCCTCTCTTTGTGGTCATTCCATTGTGGAGAGCCTGCAGTTATTAGTTCAAATTGTAGTAGTTTCGGCTACGAAAACGAGCAGAGTTTAGTCTGTGGGGGACCATTCCCGGACTAGCAGGCTTCTGGAGCAATTGTTGGGAGGGGTGAGATGCATGGTGGCTACCATTATCGTGTGATGTTGGTGGTCACTTTTGCATTGTA